CATTTTACAAATGAGGAAATAGCCCTAGAGAGGTTAAGGGTGATCTGCCTAGGGGGCATGTCGCTAATAAGGGACAGAGAGGGGATTTCATCCTCTTGGTTGATACTTAGAAAAATTTCCAGTTGTATACCACTTCTCCTAGTAAGGAAAGAGGAGAAAAGAGCTAAAACTCTAGGTTTCATTCTTAGTTCTTTACCATTTTACTTAAATGTTCTGGGAGAAACTTTTAGGTAGTATTAATTACTTTAGAGACTTTATTATTCATTTAGAAATGAAGACCCAAGTTACCATGATCAAAGAATGATTCTCCTCCTCTGTTTGAGAATGTGGTTCCATCTTGGCCAGAGAAAGAGGAAGTTTTACAGTTGCCTCCAAAAGGTGACAGAGATATTTAATTATCAACATCATCATGTGTCATCATTTGCAATGACTATTTCAGCACAGTGAATGTACTGTATTAGGCCAGCAGTAAAAATTAGCACAGGCCCATAGAGCTGGGAAGAAATTAGGTCAGAGCTAAAATAAATCAGATTGTAGGCCAGGGACTCTTATTGAAAATGGAAAATTGAACTTAGTAGCTAGTATTAGTGCTTGCTTGTTCTCAAATTAATGCATTGTTTGTAACTGTGACAAAAGTGAGAATTTTGATTGTTAAAATGCTTTGCTTCTGGCTGACATATTTTTGAGTGTCTGTAATGCTGTGCTTGGCATTATTCTGTTTACAAGAAAATAGGGTCTCTGTTAACTGGTAACTTATTTTAAATTCATTAAATATAAACTTAGCTGTGTTTTTTTTAATCTCTTTTTTTTTGGGCAATTGGAGTTAAGTGACTTGCCCAGGGTCACACAGCTAGTAAGTGTCAAGTGTTTGGTCTAAGGCCAGATTTGAACTCAGGTCGTCCTGACTTCAGGGCTGGTGCTCTATCCACTGTGCCACCTAGTTGCCCCCTTTTTTTTTAATCTTTGAAAGCTGGTTTGGGGTCCACACTGAGGCATACATTTTAAGATATGATTGATGTATCGATGGGCTTTGCCTAAGTTTATGTATTTGTTACAAGGGGAGGGCTTCTTTGGGTAGAAGGAAAGAGTAAATGGGTAGGGGGCAGCTAGGTGGCACAGTGGATAGAGCACCAGTCCTGGAGTTAGGAGGACCTGAGTTCAAATCTGACCTCAGATACATAACACTTACAAACTGTGTGACTCTGGGCAAGTCACTTAACCCCAATTGCCTCACCAAAAAAAAAAAAAAAGAGTAAATGGGTAGTGATAGAGATATGAAAAATAAAATAAGGGAGAAATGACCATGAATAAGACATTAAAAATAAAAAGGGAAATAGAAATAAATTCAGAAGGGGACACAAACAGAAATTTTTATTATTTCCTTATTAAATACAACATACATTTAAAAACAAATTGCATATTAACAAAAGTTGTTTCATACACAGTACTCTTTTCTGTATATTTTGTACATTGAAATGTTTGTGTTTATAAAGTTCATGATAAAAAAGTTTTTAAACAAAGGAAGTTGCTCTGGCCAAAATATTCATCATCCTGAAGTTGACCTGGTGATGAGTATGGTTCTTGGAAGTCACCAAGACCTTACTAAGTATATATGGATGAATATACTAATAAATTATAATTAATTGTCATTGAGAATAGGCTATTATTAATCAGTAATTGATCAGGAGAAATGGCAATAAAGGATATGTTTCAGAGGGAACCAGTGCTGTACTTAGAAGGAAATAAGTTTTAATTAAGCACCTACTATATGCCAGAGGGGCAGCTAGCATTTATATGGTGTTTTAAGTTTTGCCAAGTGCTTTGCCAAGTATTTCATAGCTAAATGGCTCAGTAGATGGAGCACCTGGTCCTGGGGTCAGGAAGACCTTAGTTCAAATCTGGCCTCAGATGCTTACTGGTTGTGGGACCCTGGGCAAGTCACTTTACCCTGTCTACTTCAATTTCTTTATTTGTCAAATGAGCTGGAGATGGAAATGTCAAACCACTCGAGTATCTTTGCCAAGAAAACCTCAAATGGGGTTGGACAGGAAGAGTCAGACAGGACTGAAACGACCGAACAACAATAACAACAATACTATGGTCCAGGCATGTGATAAGGACTTTACCAATATTATCTCATTTGATTCTCATGACAACCCTATGAGGTAGGTGCTACGATTTTTCACATTTTACAGTTGAGGAAACTGAGGCAGACAGAGGTTAAGGGTCTAGGTTTGAATCTTGCCTGTGCAACTCACCTGGGGCAAATCACTTTCCTCATCTATAAATCAAGGGTTTTGAATTGAGTGACCTCTAAGGTCTTTTGTGAGCCTAACAATGCTGTGATTTAGGCCATGTCTGTATTTTTCTTTCCATTTTACAGATGAGGAAACTGAGAATCAGAGCATCTGGGCTTTTATCGCCCAGGAAATGTGGGGGAAGTAAGAAAAGGAGTAAAAGCAGATTCCTTCCATCTCCCTCATTACAGGCTTTGTCAATGTGAGAATGATGAAATGAAACAATTAATGCCGTCTCCTGCTATTTTAAATTCAATATTCAGGGCATGACATGTGTGGAGTTAATAACAGCTTTAAACCAATTTTTATCCAGTCTTGGTTAGAAGAGACTGAAAAGCTCCCTGGGCAGCCAAAGGCTGAGAAATACAAGTGGAGGAGGCAGGGAAGTCAAGCTAGGGTCCTCAAGGGCAGTGAGGACGGAACCCATAACATCCTAATCTAGAGTTGGAATCAGTCCACCTAGTTCTGTTTTTACAGTTGAGGAAACTGAGGCTCAGGTGAAAGGCTTGCCCGAGGTCACATAGGTAGTCAGTGACAGAGCTGAGATCCAACTGGCTTCTGTTGACTAGAAACCCAGCAAGCTCTCCCCTTTAGTGCGACCCTAGCAAGCAAGATAATCACACTGGATCATTCCATCTACCATTCCTGTTCTGTCCTCTCCTGTCTCTGCCTTGGCTCACCTCACCTCTCCCAATCCCCATGGAAGTCCTTCCCTTGTATTAAGACCTAGCTCAGACGCCACCCCTTTCATGAAGCCTGCCAGGATCCTTACCATTGTGGCTGAAACTCATCCCTCCTTCCTCAGATTTCTCCTAGCTTGTCTTGGACCCCTCCCTTGTGCTAATTGCACTTTTTCTTCCATCACATTTATTTGTGTACATAAATCCTACTGCCCTCTTATCAGATTGCAAAAGCCTTGAAAACAGGGACATAGGATATTTTTCTTTGTATCCTTAAGCCTAGAACAGTGGATTCGCACCTGTCTGGAAGCTTGATAATTACTTGAATTAAAATGTCTCTATTCATTTAAGCATTTCTTTAGTGTTATGTAACATGTAATATAATGCAATAATGTAACACTTCAGTAATATGTAATGTAATAATGTAACACTTTAGTGTACTTCAGTAATATGTAGTGTAATGTAATAAAGTAACACTTTAGTGTACTTCATTAATATGGAGTGTAATGTAATAATGTAATACTTTAGTGTACTTCAGTAACATGGAGTGTAATGTAATAATGTAAAACTTTAGTGTAATTCTGTTGTTCTCAGATGAAATATCTGTAAACCGCTTAGCACAATGCCGGGCACACAGTAGGTGCTTAATAAATTCCAGTCCCCCTTCATTATCCTCAAAGTGTGACCTTGAGCAAGGTGACCCCTGGAGACCCTTTCAGGGGGTCAGTGAGGTCAAAATTATTTTCATAGTAATACTAAGATGTTTTAATTTCTAATATGGTAAATATTGATAGATATAACCCACATAAACAAAAGTTCTTTGGCCTGGATCCTCAATATTTTTAAGGGTCCTGAGACCAAAAAGTTTTATTACTAATGGAATGAATAAAATGGTGCATCAAAAGTCTGGAGATGTGGGTTCAGATTCTGACTTCTACTTAATAACTGTGTGGCCATGGGAAAAGTCACTTATCTTAAATCTTAGTTTCCTCATCTGCTAAATAAAGACCCTTGTCCTAGTAATCTTACACCGAAAGATTGTAAACTCATATGAGATCATGCATGTAATTTGTTTCTGTCTGACTCTGGGGCCAACCCCATTTGGGGTTTTCTTGGCAAAGATACTGGAGTGTTTTTGCCATTTCTTTCTCTAGCTTATTTTACAGAAGAGAAACTGAGGCAAACAGGGTTAAATGACTTGCCCAAGGTCACCCAGGTAGCGAGTGTCTGAGGCCACATTTGAACTCAGGATGAGGAATCTTCAAGATTCTAGTACTGGGCTCTATGCACTATGGCGCCACCTAGCGGTCACTACTATGTATGTAAAGTGCTTTCCAAACTATTACTATTATTGTTAAGTTCCTGCTAAGTGGATATATAGTGTATGTACACGTGGTAGGTTGCATCAAATGCTAATGTTCTCAAATACTGTGACTGGTATAATTGTTATGATATAAATATAATACTGTATGTTAAAATTATATTGCATTGATATAATAATATAAATATATAATATATTTATTTAATATAAATATATATTTAGCATAAATAATATAAATATATAATAATATAAAGGGCCCCTAAGGTCTCGTCTAGCTCGAAATTAGGCTTTGGTGCGATTCCCTCAAACCTCCCAGCTCCACCAGCCCCAGATGGATGGGAGGAGGAGCACAGCATCAATTCCCGGCCGGGGCTCGCCCCGCCCCGCCCCGCCCCGCCCCACTCTCTCCCGGGCGCCCCTCCCGATTGGCTGCCTGGTTGCTAGGAGCCCATCACCCGGCAACCGCGCGCGTCCCCTCCGAGCAGGTGGCCTCTGGGTCGGGCCGCCGCCGCCGCCGCCGCCGCCGCCGCCGCCGCCGCCGCAGTCATGGATACCCTGAAGGTCCCCGGCAAGGGCGACGCGGCTTCGGCCCCGAGCAGTCCGCTCCCCAGCTCGTCGTCGGGCGGCTCGTGGTCGGAGTCCTCCACGGACCTGAGCTGGTCGTCGCTGGAGGACACCACCCTGGTGTCGGCAACGCTGACCATGCCCCAGTACCCCCCGGCGCTGTCGGCCTACCGGAGCCCGCCGTCGAGCATCGACTACGGCTCGCCCTCGGCCTGGCCCGCGTCGGCGTCGCCTTTCCGCCTGCGCCGCTCGCCCGCCGCCGCCAGGACCCCCGCGCAGAACACGCTGCTGTCCATCACGCGGCCGCTGCCCGTCAGGGCGCTGCTCCAGCGCTACCTGGCGCCCAAGTCGGGCTCCGAGTGCGAGTGCCGCTCCCCGAAGGCCTCGCTCGCCCAGCCGTCCGGCACCACCGAGCTGCCCGGGGCCGCCTTCTACGGGCCCCTGGACGCCAAGAACCCGCTGCTCGCCTCCTTCCAGAGGGAGATGCAGGGCGTGCTGGGCTTCCTCCGCAGGAAGCAGGGCCGGGCCGCCTCCCTCCAGGAGCGCCAGACCGTCCAGCAGCGCGGGTGACCGCCTCCGCGGGGCGGGGATGCTGGGGATGGTTGCTAGGAGACGGAGATGGGGGCGGGCGTGATGGAGGGGCACTGTGCTGGGTGAGGAGAGGAACAGAAAGAGGAGAGAAGGGGGAGCAGAAGGAGGAGGAGAGGAATAGAAATAGGAGGAGGAGAGGAGGGAGATATAGAGGAAGGAGAGGAGAACAGAAGGAGGAGGAGGGAGGATGGAAAAGAAGAAGATGGAGGAGGACAAGGGAGGAAGGAGACGGAGAAGGGTCGGAGGGGCTGGTGGAATAGAAGGACTCAGGTCCTTGCTGGTCCTGGGATCTTAGATTTAGAGCTGTAATTGACTTTAGAAATCATCAAGTCCACCCTTTCCCCTCATTTTATAGATGGAGAAACTGAGGCCCAGGGAAAGTGAAGTGACTTGTTAAAGGTCACACACAGGATCACACCGTTAGAACTCATAGAGACCTCAGAAGCCATCTAGGTCAATCCTTCTAGTTTACAAATATACATGTATATAATATATAAATGTAACGCCATCTACAATGAGTACCTTATCTGCTTTATGCGGAGTACTGGGGTTCAGGTGCTGGGGGTGACAAAGTTTAGCCATAGGGCTTGGTTCCAACTTCAAGGAGCATATAGTCTAGTGGAAGGGTGAGGCCCCGAACTATATGACCATAATAGACAGCTTTACATAATGAATTCATTAGATCTGGGGATTACCTTTCGTGTGTCCTGGACCCTTCTGGCAGTCTGGGGAAGCCCATGGAACACCTCTCTGAATCATGTTTTTTAAAGTGCAAAATAAAATATATAAGATTCCAAAGGAAAATAGTCATACTAAAGTGAAGAAGTAATTTCCCCCCCATCCAAGTTCATGGACTCCTGAAATCTATCCATGAATCCTTTGGGTTTCTAGCTAAGAGCCCCTTCCATTAGAAAGTAACTTAACAGGGGGCAGTTAGGTGGCGCAGTAGATAGAGCACTGGTCCTGCAGTCAGGAGGACCTGAGTTCAAATCTGGCCTCAGACCAAACACTTGACATTAGCTGTGTGACCCTGGGCAAGTCACTTAACTTCAATTGCCTAAAAAAAAAAAAAAAAAAGAAAGTAACATAACAAAGAGCTATGTGAGGTCTGAGGGGAAGCCATCCTTTCCTAGGCGGGGTAGTAGGGATGACTTCCTAGGGGTAGTAGGGATGACTTCCTAGAGGAGGCGGTTTTTGATGTTCTGTAGTTACTTTAGAGGGTGAGTAGGATCCCAGTAGGCTAAGCAGGGGAGGCAGGCATTTAAAGCAAATAAAATAGTCTAAGCAAAAGTACTGAGAGATGTGAGAACCAAGTCCTTGCTTGGTAGGACAAAGAATCACTCCATTTTAGTTGGTCACACAGAGGGAAGTAATAATGAAGTAAGAGCAGAAGGGCAGGGGGGACCTTGAAGGTCACACAGAGGAATCTGACCTTTACTTGGGGAATAGTAAGGAGCCAGTGATGGTTTTTAGCAGAAGATTGACATGGCTAGACCTATGTATGAGCAAGATTATTCTGGTCAGGGCATGAAGGACAGATTGGAATGGAGAGAGAGTGGAGGTGGGCAGATATGTGAGGAGACTGTTGCAATAGTCCAAATACGTGATATTTAGGGCTTGTACTTGTGGTTGGTGGCTGTGAAAGTGAAGGAAAGGTATTTGTGTAGGGATGCGGAGGTGGACTCAGCAGGCCTTGACAGCTATTTGGATATGAAGTCCAAGATGGTGCCAAGATCATGAACATGGGAGACTAGATGATGCCGTAGAAAGAATCAGGGATGTTGTGAGGAGAAGCAAGTTTAGGGAGAGAAATAGATTGTGGTTTGGGACACGTTTCCATGTGCTTTTGGCACATCTGGGAAGAGAGCTCTCTGCTGAGCAGAGAGCTGGTCTAGCATGACCAGTTGCCCAGTGGAATCTTCAACTGGATGTCCCCTAGGACGGTCAAAGTTAACATGTCAAAAACAAAACTCTCTTTCAAGCTCACCTATTTCTGTTCAGGGTACCGCCATCCTTCTGGCAACTCAGGTTCCCAACACTGGCATCATCCTTAGTGCCTCCCTCTCTCATGTTCTCTTCAGGTTGCCCCATCTTAGTGATCTTACCTTCCCAATGGATTCAACATTGGTCCCCATCTCCCTGCTCACATGGCCACCATCCTAGTTCAGGTGCTCATCACTTCTTGCTTGGACTATTTCAAAATCTTCCTAACTGGACTCTCTGCTTCCAGTGCCTTCCCTCTCTAATTCATGCTCTGCACAGATGCCAAAGTAGTCTTTGTGAAATGCAGTTTTGCTGGGTCACTCCCCAGCTCAAGAACTGTAAACAGCTTTCTCATTTCCTCTAGTGTCAAATCTGAGCTCTGCTGTTTGGCATTTAAAACCCTTCCCAGTCTGGCTCTAGCCTACCTTTCCAGGCTTGTTATATTTCACCCTTGTGAAAGCTGCATTCTAGGCAAACTGGCCTGGTTGCTGTTTAATGTGTTTTGCTTTCCGTCTTTCTCTTACAAGCCTTTACATGGCCTGTCTTCCATGCGTGGAAGGCACTCCTTCCTCACCTCTGCCCTTTAGGCTTCTCTGGCTTCCTCCCGAGCTCTGCTCATGTGCCTCATGCTAGGGGAGGCCCTTGCTGACCTCCCTATTGGTTACTGCTCTCTTATTCCTTAAATAGTTGTGTATATTTATCAAGACAGACATTTGTTAGCTGTGTTATCCTGGGCAATTCAGTTAATCTCAGCTTCAGTTACCCCTTCTATAAAATGGGGGTAATAATAGCACTTACCTCATAAAATTGTTGTGAAGCTGGTGCTATTATGAGATCTATTAATATATTCATGAGATAATAAATGCAAAATGCTTGGCCAACCTTCAGGTGTTATATAAATGCTTGTTATTATCATCATTGTCATTAATAATAATTATACCTTATCTGTCCCAAGAAGAATGTTAGCTTTTTGAGCACAGGAATTCTCTTTTCATTTTGTCTTTGTATGCATGGAATCTACACAGTGCTTTGTACTTAGTAGATGCTTGATAAATACTTGTTGGACTGGACTGGAGACGTCCTTTAGGCAGATGAAGACGCAGGTCTAGACCTCATTGAGAAGTCAAGACTGGGGAGAGGGCTTTGGGAATTGTTTGTGTAGATGAACATGAGATTGTCAAGGGAAAGAATGTAGAGAGAGAAGAGAAGATGAGCAGGTATGGAACCCTTTTCAGGAAACCCAAGTTGAAAAGCAGAGGGTGCTGCTTGGAAGGCGAAAGGGGCTCACAACTGCCAGTGATCAGCCATTATTCCCTGGGCTATAAAAGAGTTGAAACATGCTTTCATCTTTGGTCACGGTTGTTTGGATCACTGCCCTTCTCTCATTGGGCTGTCATGTCTGGGGACGAGGAGTAAGCCTGAGCAGAGACAGAATCTGAATGGTATCATCAATAATCATAGCAACAACTAGCATTGAAGGTTTGTGAAGCACTTTACAAATATTGTTTTCTTTGATCCTCAACACAGCCTGGGGAGGTGGGTGCTGTTATTATCCCTGTTTTACAGCTGGAGAAACTGAGGTAGACAGCGGTGAAGTGGCTTGCCCAGGACCACACACAGCTGATAAGAATGAGGCAAGAGAAAGCGTAGAAGGAAAGATTGAAGAGGCATGGAGAAAATCATCCATGGAAAAATGGGTTATTCTGGAACAAAGATGGAGGGATTATTCTCCTTAGCAAGGAGTTGTTGCCAACCCAGTTGATTAGAAGAGTGGTCATGTCTTGAATTGTAATAGGGAAGTGAGGAGGAGGGGTGGGGTTGGTAGGTGGAAAGATTTGGGTCTGTTTTGGATGTGTTGAGTCTAGGAGAGATGCCTCGGTGATGTGCAGGCAGCTATTGGTGATGTCTACGGCTGGAGCTCAGGAGAGAGGTGAGGGCTGGGCCAGTAGATCTGGGTGTCAAATGGTAGAGGGCCAAACTGAGATTATGGGTGCTCCTTATAGATAAAGACCAAAGATGTTTTGTTCATAATGCAAATGAATGATGAGGATGACGCCCTTGGGAATGATTTTGTATGTCTAAAGTGTGCTTTTGCAGGGCCACGGGCTGGTTATTTTGAATTTGCTTTTGACCTGGGATCTGTCGTTGTGTTTTATGGATTTTTATAGTGCCAGCAGCCTATTCAATATCTGGAACAAGTATAAGGCCCGCCTGCCACCCAAGTATTACAACGATCAGCTTTTGAAGGTTGGAGACAGCCTTATTCAAATACAAGTGAGTATCCCCAATATGAAAAATGGGATCAAAAAGTCAAGGAAATGATTCTTTTCATTTCCATAATGAACATTTTTTGTTTGATATATTTCAGAATTTACTAAACAGTTACATTAAAAAAATCTTTTTGATTAGAGCAAAAGAATGAGTAATGATGAAAACTCCAGTGGGGCCCATGGAGTACGCCTTATTTTAATTTGTGGCTGAGATACTCCAGGGGCCAAAGATGCCTGCAAATGAAAGACAGCTGGCTAGGGACCAGCCGGAGATCAGCCTTGGGTTAATCTAGGGTGTGGTGGACTCCATGCAGGAAATGCTGATTCATCATGTTCCCACCTTATACAAAAGGGCTCCCAGAACACCCCTTCCTGTTTTTTTCCTCTTCCCTGGCTTTGTGTAGCCAGCATGGCGCACCTCCCTCCCCCAGTCTCCCGTGTTGCAAGCATCCCCTAGTGCTGTGTGCCCTGACTTAAGGAGGGTAAGAGCAATGCCTACGCTTCCCAGTACTTACTCAGTCTTGCATTGTCTCTTTCAGACAGTTCCTACTCCTCAGTGCCCACATCTATGGAGTAGTTTGGGCTTCTGAATTCGATCTGATGGGTACAGAGGGAGCGTGGCTGAATCTTGGCTTCTGCTGAAGGCTCAGAGTTTCCTTCACCTGTATTTCTGGTTCTGCCACATGCCCAGTTTGCTTCAAGAAGAATATGAAGTGGTTGGGCATTTCAGGGATCTGGATTGAAAAAAAATGTTTTTTTTTTTATCCAAAGGGAGGCATTAGTCATAGCATCCAATGGTGTCACAGTTTGGACAACAAGCATTTTTCATCCATTTGGTTTTTAGTGTGTAGATTGGTAGACCAATATCTTGAGTGGCTGGGAATCTTGCTGAGGAAGTCTAATAGTATTCTGAGGTTTAATGCTTTTAGCTCTATGTTAAATGTAAATAGTTCTATGTTATGTGTAAATAGATCATCTGAAACACCTTTCAGGAACCCTCCCATTTGGACTTTAAGAAGGACATACTTTTTTATGGCTTGCTTGATGTTGCAGGAGCAGCTAGGTGGCACAGTGGGTAGAGTGCCAGGCCTGAAGTCAAATCTGCCTTCAGATACTTACTAGCTGTGTGACTCTGGGCAGGACACTTAATTCTGTTCGCCTCAGTTTTCTCATCTGTGAAATGAGCCGGAGAATGAAATGGTAAACTGCTCCAATATCTTTGCTAAGAAAACCCCAAAGGGGTCACAGAGAGCCAGACAGGACTGAAAAATGACTGAACAACAACAAATTGATTGGTGTCTCCCCTGATGGAATGTAAACTCCAGTAGGGCAGGGACTGTTTTTACTTTTGTCTTTATCCTTAAAAATGCTTGTCGATAGATAAGCAGGGGGATTACGTTTTGGAGGAGAGTGTTTACGTCTGTGTTTTACTGTGCCAAGTAACATCCTTTTTTATAATTGATAAAAAATAGCCTGGAAAGTGGGATCTTTATACTTTTTCATTAGTATGTTATAGAAACTTGCTCGTGAAAGTCTGCCTGTTCCTTTTTCAGATTTTAATCCAAGATACATATCTTTGTTTCATCTGTTGGTCACTCTCAAAGAGATTTCATAAAGGTGAGATAGGCATATGTGCTGATAGCTGGTAGCACTGTGGATAGAGCCTGGGCCGGGAGTCAGCAAGTGCTGAGTTCAAATATGGCCTTAGATACTTGCTGTGTGACCCTGGGAAGGTAATTTAACCTGTTTGCCTTAGTCTCCTCATCTATAGAAAGGAAATAGTAGCACTTGCCTCCCAGGAGGATGTGAGGATAAAATGAGGTAATGCTTGGCAAAGCTTTGTTGTTATTGTTTATTCATATCCTATTCTTCATGATTCCATTTGGAGTTTTCTTGGCAAAGATTCTGTAGTGGTTTGCCATTTCCTTCTCCAGTGCATTAAGGCAAACAGGATTAAGTGACTTGCCTAGGGTCACACAGCTAGTGTCCTGCCCCAGTGCTCCATCTGCTGAGTTGCCTAGCTACAAAACACTCTTAAAGCACTTGACAAACCTTAAAACACCGTATAAATGCTAGCTACTATTATTAATGCTATTTTCTTAATCGCCCTTTGGTTTCACAATGCACGTGATATGCATCATTCCTTCTTTCAGATATTTTGACAGTTAACCCACCAGGGCTTTTAAAATTGTCACCTACAGCAGGGATTTCTTCTGTGTGTACTTGGTCAGACATTGCTCTGTCTTAGTGTTAGTTCGTTTTCCTCAGTCCGTCTCCGAGTCCTCACGTCCCACATTGGGAACTGAGGTATCCAGTCCAGATAACGACGAGGGCGAAAATAGATCTCTGGTTGCAGACCTCTTCCATCTATGGCCTGTTTGTTGTCTTACTTTCACCCGTAAATGCCTTTGAGATGATCTGGATTAGCTTGGCCTCATCCCACGTTTTCTGCAATGGTCTTCTCTCCCTCTGCTTTCCAGTATTTTACAAAGCAAGAGTAGCCATATTCCTTGGATCCTTTCCCCTTTGTCTGCTGTAGACATTATGTGAGGCGTTTGGCGTCTTCATCGATTCTCTGGGGTTCTCATAAACGTCGTTTATGCCATCTGCAAATAGGGATAGTCTTGCTTCCTCTTTGTTGCGGACATCTCTGATTTTGTTTTTTTTTTCTTACTGCCAAAGGCTGGCATTTCTAGAACTGTACAAAATCATAGTGAGCAGAAGGGGTGCTAGACGCTGGGGACTGGACCTGTGGTTTTATTGATACAGGGAACTTTCGGATGAGTCAATTCCCTTTACAAATGCAGCTTGGCATCTTCTCTGAAATTTATAGTCTCACAGTTATCTGGGGTACTGAGAGGTTACGGGGCTTCGAGGCCAGCTGTATCATCATATCATGCTGCTTCTTGCTTTTGCCAGGCATTAGGGAAGACAAGAAGATGATGAATGCATGATTCCTGCCCTCAACAAGCTTATGCTCTAGCAGGAGGAATAAGGCTTATACAGTTAATATACTAGTAATCAGAAATAGGATAAGCAAATAAAAGAAGTACAAAGTTAAATGAAATCAAGTGCATGAGGCCTGATCAGGCATCCCTCCTGTTTTTCTCTCCCATCAGACCAGCTGCATACTGGATAGATGGTGTTTTTGCCTGTCATTAACCAAACCCAGAGATTTCTACTTCTGCAACTCCTGGTTACTGGTGCATTTATTTCTTCTATCTGTCCTTCACTTCAAGAGTTTGCATGCAAGATACAATAACTTACAGAATTAACATCTAATTATGATATAGGGTAGTTGGGTGGCACAGTGGATAGAATACCAAGTCTGGAATCAGGAAGAACTGAGTTCAAATATGGACTCGGGCATTTACAAGCTGTGTGACCCTGGGTAAGTCACTTAACCCTGTTTGCCTCATTTTCCTCATCTGTAAAATGAACTAGAGAAGGAAATGGCAAACCACTCTGGTATCTTTGCTAAGAAAACCCCCGATGGGGTCATGAAGAATCAGACACAACTGAAACTACTGAACAAAGACAGCAATAATGTAGGCTCTCCAGAGAAATATGTTCCAGAAGTCTCTATTGCCATTTTCAGTAAATGCTGTATGTTCAGACTTAACACGTCTTATTGTTCTGTTTGCCCTTTTTTTTCTTGAATGGGTTGGGTTTCTGGTTGGCATAGTGATAACCCATGGATATTAGGTATCTTTTGTGTATCAGTCTTACATAAGTCCTGTGAAATTGATTTAGTGAATTATAGAAGCAAGTATATTTGGGATCTTGGAGTCTGCTCAGTATGTAAGTTTCAATTTATATAAGGGAAAATAATGACGTTTCCATGAAAAATTATAATGGACCTTAAGAAGCATTTCGATGTTATTGTTTCAGAGAATTAACATATCCATTCTTTTGTGAAGAATTGGTTGATAGGAGAAGGTACTGGGCTTGAGATTTTTATTCATACAGGAAGCTCCCATGTGAGGAAATTCCATCTTCCAGTTGCAGAAAGTCAACATCTTTTTTAGCTGGGGTTTTAATTACTTTTTTTTTCTTTTGGTGAGGCAATTGGGGTTAAGTGACTTGCCCAGAGTCACACTGCTAGTTTTATGTGTCTGAGTCTGGATATGAACTCAGGTCTTCCTGATTCCAGGGCTGGTACACTGTGCCACCTGACTGCCCCTTTAGCTGGGGTTTTTAACCATTTTTTTATATCCTAGATCCCTTTGGCAGAATGTGATGAAGCCTATGGACCTCTTCTCAGAATAATGTTTTTGAGTACATAAAATAAAATATATAAGATTGCCAAGGAAACAATTATATTGAAATACAGTTATCAAAATACTAAAAAAATAGTTCATCTTGGAGACCCTTGTTCTAGTCTCAGAGAATTTCTTAGTGCCCTGGGTATTTAAGTGGACTTCACCAGAGGTAACCTAGCCAGAATGTGTCAGAGGTGAGATTGGAACCCAGGCCTTTCTGGCTTTTAAGCTATGCATTATGCAGCACTGCCTCACTTGATTATTAACGACATGAATTTTTTTCATCCTTCAAGCTTCTTTTTCACCTCCGAATTTTTAGTCAAAATTTCTGCTTAAAAGATTTTTAACCTTTGAGGGTGTTTGCACGTATTCCAAGATGGTGCTTTTAAATGAAGTTCTATGTACCCCCTCAGGACTGTGAATAATTTTGTTTAAATGGATTGCATGAAAAAAAGAACTAACCTGGCATTCTTCACATTGCAGCAATACAAGCTGGCCTTGTCGCAGTGCTATGGAAGGTATCTTAGCCAGTTCAACTGCACCGTTGAGGAGAGAGAAATGGACGTGTATCAGTTCAAAAGCATGTTTTTCCCCAATGGCCCCGAAGACAGGAGTTCCAGCCTAACAGTAAGAGCCTGGGAGATGAACAAAATGGGAAATAGTGGGTCAGACAGAGACTGTTTATTTTAGATTGAAAACCAAGAGAGGTATTTTCATACTCTCCCTTTTGCTTTGCGTAATGCTCGGCTGGTTACGTGTGGTTAGTTGACTAAGCAATGTTTTGACTGCTATATAAACAAGTACTATTCATTAAACCTTTATGAGTAATAGACCAGTGGGTTATTTATTTTAAAGATTAGTAAATGTATTGGTTTCTTTTGAGTAAACTTGCTACTCAATGCCCATTGATCCACTGAATCTGGTTCTGGTGGAAGAAGTAAAATGTTCACTTTCGGAAGACACGAGTGCTTACATGTATTTCATGTACTTCATACTTCAATAATATGATTCCTTCAGTGTGGGTGCTTTTCAGACTAATGTCCTCTCTAGGACTTGGTAGATAACCTTGTAATGGCACCAGGGTCAGAGAGTTCCTCTCCTTGCAGATGATCCAGGGAGTAGCTGCTCAGAAACTTTTATTCATCAGAAGAGACAGACAAGCCATCTCCAGGCTCATTTATCTCTTGTCTACTTACTTTCAGGAGATCATCTCTTCTGGGTTGCTAAACTGTAGCTGCAAAACAGTACACATTCATCCACTAATTTGGAGTTATTAAGAGCTTTAGATGTTGCTCAGGTGGTTTTGTCAGTGTTTAATTCTGACACTTTCTTTCTTTGGCAATGATAATCCTTCCAACGTCTGTAGAATGCTTTCTTGTGAGAGAGGTCTTATGAGTTTTCATTATTCCAGTTTCAACCATAAGGACACAGAGGTCCTGGTGGATAAAATGCAGACAGACAGTTTTTAAGTCAGGATTCAGATCCAAAGCTCTTTGCACCAGACCACCCTGTCTCTCAGTAAGATCCTTCCCTTATATTTTATTTAGTGAATTCTATGAGAAAATAAGCCAATTTTGGCTAAATGTATATTTTTGAAGACTATTCCTATGACAAATGATGCTGTACGTTAATCCCTGCAGGGATCCAGCTAAATTGGGCCTGGGTTAGCTCTTACTATAGAGAATATGGTGAAACTAAGGGAACTGCTGATTGGTCTCCTCTTTGACTTTTTTTTTTGTTCTCTGTATTTTAGTTTCGTGCTTTGGAAGGGAAATGCATTTGTATTTACCAGGTGATCTGTGCCAGTGACCCCTCTCTGCAGAGTGAGATATCTGTAAGCCAGTGCTTTAATATATTGTCTTCATTGAGACTCATCATGCAAGTGGCCCTTCCCCAGGAAAGACTCTGCTGGATCATCTACAATGGTACGGGAATGGCAGGGGAGCAAAGGGTTCCAGCTTCAGAGAACCTTGTTGACCGTATTGCAAACATATTTACTGAATGCTTGAGTGATGCTCTTCTAGAATGCTGGGTTTCATTATCAGCTTTTGGGCTGCTAGTTGGCGCCATAGTGCACAGAGAGCGCCAGGTCTGGAGTCAAGAAGACTTCTCTTCCTGAGTTCAAATCCAACCTCAGACACTTATTAGCTGTGTGACCCTGGGCAAGTCACTTAACCCTGTTTGCCTCAGTTTCCTCATCTGTAAAATGAACTGGAGAAAGAAATGGCAAACCACTTCAAGAAAAACTCAAATAGGCCCATTAAGAGTCAGACCTGACTGAAAAATGACTGAACAACAGTAAACAACATTTTGTAGAAGTACTTTGGAAAATGGTTTCTCCCAAATAGTAATTTTGCAACAGGGACACATGGGGAGTAAATCTTGCATTATAGCCATCTGGGGAGCTAAATAATACATATAATATATTACATATATATTAATATAATATAATATAATATAACATAATATAAAACAATATAAAATAATATAATATAATATAATATAATATAATATAATATAATATAATAT